TGGCAGGGATGGGAGAAGAAACCTTAAATCCAGCTTGGGTATGACTGACTGCAGCCAGCTACAAACTTTATGAATTTTTTTCTCAAGTTGAAGCCCCACCAAGTCTTATCCAGGTTCTACATTTGGGGCTGATGTAAAGTAAGTCCCCTTCACCTTCCCCCCTTCTTCTACTGACTGTTGACAGCAACTCTGATGTTTCTCCTCAGAGAGAACATTACCAGTGCCTTCAGTTACCATGAATGTGGCTTTCAGGAATCAATGAAGATATATCAATCAGATATCAATCAAGAAGAATTATCATCTGCTTAGGAGAGTTCCTTCAGCAGAATGCGAAGAGGATGGTTGAAGGGTCATTTCTCTCACATTTATTACCAGCTGTTTTTGACACCAGTGAAGAGCCTATTGTCCACCCAGGCCCTGCATCCACACTAGCATCCTTTTCTCTGAACGCCTGTGTGTGCACACGCGCGCACGCACACACACACACACTGTGTTCTGTTATACAAAGTGAGTCAAAGAACCTCATCATCCTGACCACAGTTATTGGCTGAAAAAGTCACAAGGTCCAAGCTGAAATTAACCTGAGTTAATTTCTGGAAGGCCTGCTTCCCTGTCTCCCTGTGGAGTATTCAGACCTCAAGTGTTGAGGCCCTTTGCTAGAACATGCCAATAATGTGGAGAGAAGGATCTCGTGTTTTGAGACATGGCTAAAACCACGTCCACACTTTCCTGTTCTATTATACACTTACATAAGTCAGCAACCCACCATCACCACCACCATCGCCACCATCGCCACCATCACCATCACCATCACCACCACCATCGCCACCATCGCCACCATCACCACCATCACCATCACCATCACCACCACCACCACCACCACCATCACCATCACCACAACCACCACCACCACCATCACCACCATCACCATCATCACCATCACCACCATCACCATCACCACCACCATCACCATCACCACCACCACCACCACCACCACCACCATCACCACCATCACCATCACCACCACCACCACCACCACCACCACCATCACCACCATCACCACCACCACCACCACCATCACCACCATCACCACCACGTGAAGCAGGTTTATGTCACTTGCAACACAGAGCCCTGTCTAGTACCAAATCCACAGGACGTCAGCCATCCTAACAGGGTCAATGGAATGAGTCACAAAGGATAAGAATCTCTTCCTCGTCCTCAGAAGGATAGAGAAGAGTATCCTGTGGCATTGTGTAAGAAAGAAGACGACACCCTCTTACCGAGGTTGAAACTACCTTTCCTGAGAGGCAGGCTCACCCAAGATCACAGCACTGCTCAAAGCCCCATTACCATGACTATCACAGTACCCGCTGTACCGGAAGAAGGTAACTAAGACACCCTCTCCATGGTATATGGACAGAGAAATCACAGTACTCCGGGCACTGGATATAGGGACAAAATGAAGACACGAACTCCCTGCGGAGACTTCGGTGGCATCATCTCACCTTCTCAGAGTTAGAATGCTCATCAAAATAGTCCGGATTAGTTTCCTCGCCAGTGGTTTTTACCTTTTTATTTTGGCATAAAATGCTATGATTCCATCCATACTCGGTATCAGCAAAGAGAATTCTCCTAAAGCTTGGGTGATATAGACAAAGTGGAGAGAGCACAAAGTAAAAAGGACCCGAGGGTGGAGATGGCCCCGTGAGGGAAGTGTCCACCACGTAAGCATGAGGACCGGGGTGCAGATCCCCAGGACCTGCCTCAACCCTGACACCCTGGCTGTAATCCCACCATTCCTGCAACGGGAAGGAAGGCAGACAGGACCTTCCAAAGCCCGCAGACCATTTATCCTGGTGCAAACATCTGCTATCGAGAAACAGGCCTCAAGCAAGATGGAGAGCAAGGACGGCGCACGAGGCTGCCCTCGACCCCAAAGCACCCATGGCTCGCACATGCCCAATATGCCCCCAACAACTAGCGCTCGGTCTCTGTCTCTGTCTTTCTGTCTCTGTCTCACACACACACACAGTTTTTTTAAAGAAGGACACACACACTTTAACAACGGGGGAGGGGTTTCACAAGGCACGATAACCTACTGAGGAAATAAGGAGAAGGGGAAAACATCCCACACAAAAGGAGAAATCCTTGCAATATGATTTTTTTTTTAAGTGATGCAGTCAAGTCACCTTCCTATCGGTTTCCAATCCCATCCCAACCACCTTCTGTAGTCGGAATTCACCTTTGTGGTCCCCTGGGGTCTGGCCCTTCCTGAGTCTATGAAATCCATAGGATGCTTCCTTCAACAACCTCCATGCCCTCTCAGGGTCGGCGCCCCCTCTTCCATCGCTAAACTGAGTGTCCCTCTCTCCCCTCTCACTACCCAATTACCGTACACACAGGTATTAAACGTTAAGTTTCACATCCCAGCATACTGCACTCTGTATACATACTGTTAAGAATGTTCCATCGATTAGCTCACTTCGTCTCAAAACACACCTGTGTGGGACATCCTAATTATTGTTTATGTTATAAAGGGACCCAGACTCTGAAAGAGCGTACCTCACTCCTAGTACACACAGCCTGCGAGACTCCAGCGCCTTGCATTTACCAATTACGTGATCCACAAGGGCATTGATCCTTGAGAGGAACGGGGAGTAGCTGTCAAGAGGGTAACAGAAGCAGAGAGCCCAGGGAAATAAAACCAACAGGAGCTCCTTCTCAGTTTTGCTCAGAGTCAGCCCTATTTGAAGTAGAACCTTGTTCCCATTATGTAGCAATAGATTATCTGCCATTTTGCATTGTGGAAATGTACCCTCCATTATCCAGGCTAATCTTGTTGACTGTAGAATGCTGTACACAGACATTACCATGACAGACAACTAATTCAATCTTCTCTGCTAGCAAGATGCTACTATTAACGTCTCTTCAATTCCTCCCTACAGCTTTTGATGCAAGGACACATCACATATAACACAGCTGCTCCTTCCTACAGTATCTATGAAGAAAAGTGATTGAGACTCACGGGGGGGGGGGGGGAGATGTTAGGAAGAAACCAGAAGGTTCCACATCGCAACACAAAACACCACACAGAAAAAAAATAAAGAAAAACAAATTGATCCAAGATGATTATCTGATAATTTGTGGTGCAAAAAAGAAACGAATGTTTATGACCCATGGGTAAACTCAGAACCTCATTTCCTTTTGACAGAAACCATATGTTCAAGCAGTCTAGGCGGAATTTCCCTGTCAGGAAGTGCAGAGATAATGTGTATCACCTATAGAAGGGAGAGCTCGCATCGTGTGGCCTACCTTGGGTCTTTCACAGCGGGAGCCATCTCATTACTCAGCCAAAACCCCAACTATGTCATATTTCCCATCTTCCTCTAAGTTCTCCGTGTCTTCGTGTATCTATCCACTAAGAGACTGTTGTTTAATACTAACATTCACTGAAAATCATCAGAGGGTTTGATGTGATAATGGGGGGCTCTGTTTTTCTAGAACAGCAGCAACAAGACAGGCTCACAAACTCTTTGGGGTCAGCAGGGAATGGGTAATATCTAAATTAAAAGGGCACGCCATGGAAATATGTGTAGCAGAGACCGTCTCAGTGAAGTCATAGTGCTATGTGCTTTGAGTATATAAAACCTGAAGTTTTAAGCTAACATACAATGGCAGGTTCTAAATTAAGGTACTATTAAAATATTCACTGGTGCAAAGTCCTTCAAACAAACTAAGGGGAAAGGGATACTGGCTTCTTATTCTGACCAATTTGGATCAAACAGCAGGAGCATGGAGGAGAGAAAGTATTAAATAAACTGATAGAATAAAAGGAAAAGAGATCGATCCCATGATGAAATTCCACTCGTTGTCAGAGAAATGGAGTAGAATTACACACTTCGGTGGTGACAAATTTCAAAATCCGTGTAGCTTCTAGTAAATGAAGCTTTTCCATAATGTCAAATGCAAAAGGCTATCTGATATCAACATATCGAGCTGAATATTTCAATTCCTATTTCCTTACACCTAATTGTTTGAGACCTTTAAGATACAAACTTCAGTAAACTGATGTTCTGATTTTTAAAAAAAAAAAAATATTTCATTCCCTTGAGCATGTCAGATTAATCTCCAGATGGTAACGGACAGAGAGCATCAGACCGTATTCTTAAGCCCAAGCACCGCTCAAGGGCTGGAAGCAACTAGCTGCAGTGGCAGTTAAGATTCCAAACTTTCCCAGTTCTTGTCTGCATTGCTGTTTTAGGGGGCTGGCATACCCTCTTCACAGAAAAGGGTCAGAGCTTTGTATCCACCGGGCACACTCCCAGACACACAGTAGGCATTTAACAAATAACGCTGAAATGAGCTCATGGAATGGCTTAAGGGGAAGAGTGGAAATCTTGCTGAGGAGAGCATGAGCCCAATTCCTGGCATTGCCCAACAACAAAGACCATCCCCGGAATTAGGGTTATCAAGGTGGATCGCTAATTCGCACGTGTATCATCAAAGCGGCATCAAAAGGATTGTTCACTGGGCTGGCAGGCAGCCACCAAGGGCCCCTTATGAGGGGATTATGCCCCAGCTTACCCATTCCTGGAAAACTCATGCTTTGTGTCTGCACTGACAGCTCCCCCAGGCTCTGCGTGTCCACCATACAATTCAAGTTCAAGATTTGACCTCGCTGGTCCAACCCAGACCCCTCAACACCCTGGCTATTCCATAGCTGCTCTGGAGCGCCCGCTCCAAATACCACATGACAAAGTGCTAGGTACCGGGCAGAATGTACACCAGGATGTCTGAAGGTGACAGAGGGTGGCCAGAAGCAGTGGAGCATGGGCGAGGGACCAGCTCAAGCCCCTGTGGTAAAACCCCTCACCCAAATTCTCTGTCCCAGTCCCTGGAAACCGCTGCCAGACAGCAAAGGGCCTGGCGGGGTCAGGACTTGGGGGGTGAGGAGGGGGGTTCGGAAAACAAACAGAAGCCTTATGGGACAGGGAAGGTACCTGGCGTGGCTGTGGTTCCGGGGACAATCCTTCTTCTCCATGATGGCCGGCACGCAGTTGGTGAGCTCGGTCCAGTCGGCGTGCAGCCCGCAGCTCCAGCCGGTGGAGAACCGGGAAAAGAGCCAGGTCTCCTTCTTGCCGGGCCGGTGGCAGGTGCACTTTTTCTGGCCAGCTTTGCAGCTGCATGGCTGCTCCAGGCGTATGTTCTTCACCAGGTGCCTGCCGAACGTGGTGCCGCCGGTCTTCTGGATGTGCAGGAACACTATCACGTCGCGCTCTTTGATGTTAAAGTCCACGAAGCGGGTCAGGTCCTTCAGGGTGAAGTTGAAGCGCGGCACGAACCGGGGCAGGGAGCCGTTTTCGGGCGCCTCGGGGTCCGCCTCCTCCTCCTCCTCTTCTTCCTCCCCGGGGTCCCCCGGGTCCTCGTCCTCATCCTCCGGAGCCGCGAGCCCTTGAGGAGCCTCGGGCGGTCCCCGGGGTGGCGGGGGCAGCTGGGGCCGCCGCTCCCACTCATCGGGGGGCGGCTGTGCCCGGCGGGCAGGACTCGGGGCGGCGGGCGGGCGGGTCTCCCCGACGCGGGGCTGCTCCCCGAAGTTGCCGCAGGAGCTGGTGCAGGAAGGGGACACGTACTGGTACATGATGACCACGAAGAGGAGAGTGAGCACCGGCGTCAGCAGCCACTTGTTGAATCTTTCATCCATGGTCCCGCTCTCAGGCCGGCAGGTGGGGCGGCGGCGGCGGCAGCGGCGCGGCAGGGCGCCCGCTCGGAAGTTTCGGGGACTCCGGGGCGCGGCTCCGAGCCCGCCGCTCCTCCATGCCCCTGCCGCCGAGGAGCGCGGCTGGCTGGCTGGCTGCCCCGCCGCACTCCGGGGCTGGCGCAGCCGGGGCCTACGAGCGAGCGGAGCCGGGAAGACGGGCGCCGGCGGCGGCGTAGGGCTCCTCGGGATCCCCGGGGCGCCCGGCTCGAGCCGGCTCCTCTTGCGCCCGGGCGCGCGGCTCTCAGGCGACGCGGAGCAACCCGCCGCCGGCCGGCAGACGCTCAGACGCAGGGGCGCCGGGTTCGGGTCCCGCACCTGCCCGGGGCAGCTGCAGCGGCGAGCAGGGGAGCTGCATGAAGCTCGCCCAGGCGCGGGCCAAGGGCAAAGGCGCGGCCCGGCTCCCGCAGCGCCAGCCCTCCGTGTGCACCGCGCCCCGCGCCTTCGCCCGCCGGTGCCCGGGTGCCCGGAGCCCGCCGCAAGTTTGCAAAGCGGCCCCTGGGCGCCGGCGAGCAAGACGCCTCTGCGGAGCCGCCTCCCGGGCGAACCGCACTACTGCTCCGGGTCTGCCCGCCCAGGCGCAGGCAACGCGCGCACACTCGCTCCCGCGGGCTGGCACCGCCACAACCCGCCAGCCGGTGTGACTGGAGCCCTGCTACCCGCAGCACAAAAACCTGCCCTAGGTACGGAGCATGCGCCAAAGCCTTCCTCAGCCCCGGAGGAGTTTCCAGGGGAGGAGTCCGCGCCTCTGCGGGGCTCGCGGGAGGCAGCTGGGGGTGGGAGCCCTTCCTGCCTGGAGCCTGGAGATCTCAGCTGGCGGTGGAGGAGAACAGGCCCCACTGAGGGCGTTGCTAGCGATCATCTGATTCCTCTACATCGCAACGTTGGCCGCCTTCTCCGTGTGAGAGTGGACAGAAACCTGGCTGGTCTTGTTTGCAGGAATAACACCCCTAAGGCAGGAAGTCCCACACACACAGGGATTTGTCCTGTCCCTCCTCAGCATGGCCATGGCTCCAGACCTCATTTACTGTCTCCCCCAAGACATGATTCAAACTGATGCTCAAGTTTGTGGCAAGCCTTCCTTAGCGATTGATTTAGCAGGTCCAAGGCTACAACTTCATTCAACCAGCAACCTTTAAGTGCTTGCTGTGTAAAGGGCATTGCGTTTGCTGCATACTTTGTTTCCTTCACCACTAGGCCAGGCCAGCCTGCAGCCAAGGAGTGTAAGAGTCATCTCCCAAAACTCATCCTGACACACTGTGATTTCTTTAACGGTCAGGACAAACCTTTCCCAAGTGAAACATAAACGCCGTCTCTCCTCATCTGTTTCTCAACAAAGTCCTTCTTCGTCCACAGACGTGCTTAAATTTTTCATTTTTTCGAGGGGGTAAATTTTGAAGTTGCCCCAGAATCCAATCTTTGTTTGAACACAATTTATGACTTCAGATAATGGATGGACATGAAGGGCAGTTGTGTTGAAATTTGGGACAATCATATCCACCAGCTATGGTACTCCATGCTCTCGCATGGGCTCACCTTTCTTCCTGTCTCTCCTGGGGTGCTGTGTGGGATGTTATTTCTTCCTGAGAACGGTGCTGGAATCTTCTGTCACGTCCCCGTGTGGAACCATAGGTTAAAATCCAGATCTCTTTTGGGAATACTGACACTTGCTCATCAGAAGTTATTTTTATTGTTCTAGACAGGTGGAATTCTACCCAACAAACCGTTCCTCCTCTGCTTCCGGCTTTTAACAATTACAACACATGCCATACCATTCTTGATACTGTAGAAGTCTACATCTCTAAGAGGGGTGTTGGCTAAAATAAATCAGCTTCTCAAAAGCTTTCTGGACTCTATTTTCTCTCACTCAAGTTTAAAGTCTTATTAATCATCATCTACACTCTAAAACAAGAAACTGTTGCTTTTGAAAGAAGAGCCCAATAAAGCCCAGGAATTATTTCCAAAATCCATCGAGTTGACAGAGGGTTTCTTGTTTGTTCGTTTTTGTTTATTTTGCTATTAAGGCTTGGGAGATCATTGAAACAACGCATGTACAAGGTTTCAATTTCCAGAGCTACATTTTTCTTTTTTGAAGTTGTATGTGATGACCAGTATCTCAGCACCTCTGCTAGAGAAGCAGAAATGAGAGACAAACAGAGATCATCAGGACTCTGCTGGCCGTCAGCTTCGTCTACTTGTCAAGTTCCAGGCCAGTGATAGACTCAGTCTCAAATAAGAGGTGGATGGTATCTGAGGACAACATCCCAAGCTGTCCCCTGGCCTTCACATGCACAAACACACAAGAGCATGCTCACAAACTCACACACACATACACACACTCTCTCACACACTCACACACACACACATTCTCACAAACTCACACACACACTCACATACACACATTCATACTCACACACTCACACATTCACACACACACACTCTCTTCAGGTAAAAAGTCATTATGACTTTGTGCCTTTGTACACTATGTTATTGGGAAAATACCATATTTTCTAGAATACTGCTTTATAGCTCGTGGCTAAGTAGAGCCTTTATACCCAAACGGAGTGAGTGTTGGTGATAATTTACACAGTGGAAAAACACTTCCCTAGCCATCTTTTCCTTGGCTCCTCAGAACAGCACTCTAAGGAGATTAAACACGCACACACTCACACACACACACTTGCACACACACTCACACACACAATGGGTGAAGTCTCGTTTTAGAGACAGGAACCTGAACCAAGAAAAGTGAGGGAAAAACAAAGTCAAGTTGGAAGCTTCTGGTACCCTGAAGTCATTCAAATCGCCACCGATGTAATGCAGGAGACAGCAGCAACACAGCTCAGAATTCCCCCTCTCCCCTGCAGAACAATTCAGCTATCTTCCCTCTCCCTGTGGCTTGCTAAGCAAAACAGAGTCCTTCACACCCTGCAATGTTATAGTGTCTAGCCATAGTTCCCAGATAAACATGGGAAAGGCGGTTCCAATGGCGTCATTATTAAAACAGAACACTTAAGATAATTTCCAAAGAAAATGCTGTAAAAATACAACAGCTCAACAGCTGTGTTGTTGATGACTTACCTCTCCATAAGCACACATACCCTCATAACAGTGTTCAAAAACATGCTACAATGCTATAAAAGTCTTTTTTGTTGGTTTGTTTGTTATTGTTGTTTGTTGTCTTTGTTTTCAGTAAAATAGCTGATGGGGTACCACTGTTTTCTTGGGGTAATTGGAAGAAAATCAATGCATAGGTCGGAGGCAATTGAGGAGATAATTCAGGCATGTGCTGGGGAATTCATTTCTAATGATAGGTAACTTCCGTAGGGTGCACAGCTTTTCTGTCCCAAGTGTGATCTCTCTAGTACCACAGTAGAACGTGTTGTGAACCCAATCAAAGCTCTTAAACCACGCAATAAACAAGCTTCCTTATCTATAAGGGCAGACATCGCATTCTGCAGAAAATGAATAGAAACTTTCTAAAACTGAATGCTCTCCAGGTGAAAGGAAAAAAACATATTTGCATTCAGTCTACTATAGTTACTCCAGGATGACACCAGCTGGCAATTGTTTCTGGCTAACAGATTGCAGCTACTATGATTCCTACATAAATTATTAAAATAATAAAAGTAACATTTTTAAAAAACAGCTTCCTTCCACTTCCTCTGCAAGTCTAGCAATAAGTGTAACGCTTATTGCTGTGAGGCAAATTTTTTCACCTAATTTTATGCCTTAATAAGCTTTACTACAATTATCTTCTTGCCTGGTTCTTTATCCACCTTCACTTCATTTTCTCTTCATCCGTTCTTCCCAAATCCTCTCAGACCTGTTACCAGCATTGCACGATCCCCAACACACACACATCAAGCCAAACTTTTGATCAGAACAGTCCTCATTTAATCAAATGGTAGATAAAAATTGCATCGCAGCTTCTTCCTTTTCCCATTGGTAGAAGAAACTGCCTTTGAGGACACCCTGGAGAGATCAGAGATCCAGACAGTCCCAGAGAATAGTGTTGGATCCCCTGTGCTTGCAGGCGGGAATGCAGAGGTGAGCATGCCCTTCGATGCATGTGAAAAACAAAATAGATCACATCTCTGGTTGGCTGTATGAATCTCCCTTTCCAGAGTGAGTCGGGGGTGGAGACAGGAGGGCAGTCCTTCAGAGGACTAATGGTTCTTCCAGAAGAACTGGGTTTGATTTCCAGCGCCATATGATGTTTGCAAAAGTCCAGGAAATCTAACACCCACTGTCCTATGCAGGCACTGCAGACACAACTGTGCACACACACACACACACACACACACACACACACACACACGCCATTTTTAAAAGGGAATAAAGAATAAGAAGTGTTCTTGTCTCCTGAAATGATTTCTTCTTGATTTTGTAGACAAGCCTTGCCCCCAAGTCCCTTAGTTACACAGTTTGCAAGTAACACAAGTTTCTTCCTTAGGAAGTTATTAGAGGCATTTGGAGAGTCAGGAAAATTACAGGCAGAATTGTGATCTAGACTAAATTTATTCCAGTTCCCTATATCATTGTGACTTCGAGGCAACTCTGTCCCTGCATATTGCATTTCAGAATTCCTATTTATGTGAGTGGATAATATTTTTTTTTGGCTTTGTTGTATAACCTTCCTCACCCACCGTAGATAGCAGCCTGTCAGGGAAGCCTGGAAACTGTTATCTGTATGCATAATGTATGTTCATCAACTCAGTATAATGTAAGTAACGAACTAGTGTTTTCATGGTAGACGTGCAGTTATTTCTTCAACAAGAATTTGTTGAGCATTTACCATATTGCTTTGGATGCTTGAGCTACACCATGAAACAAGACCAATCAAGAGCTACATCCCAACAGAGGGAGAAGTGATGAAGAAATAGATGAAATTAATTCGTTTAATCCACAATATGCAACGATGTGCATATGTAATACATAAAGTGCCAGGAACATTTTGATACTTGGCTTACATTTGGAAGCAATGATAATACTGATGTTTACTCTCAAGAATTTAAATGCCAGAAAAATAAAAACAGTACAGAAGAAACTAGAAAGAGACTGGGAAATTGATCATATTAAGGCTGGTGGGATATTATAAAAGCTTAATTCTGAGAAGAGGGGAGAGTCGTGGAGGTATGTGAACCATCTATAAATAGTCAATCGGACTGTTTTATATTTTTGGGATAGTGGTCAAAAAAGAAACAGAAAGGCCAGTTAAGCAACCATTCCAGTAACCATAAGAGAGATGGCTCCGGTTAAGACTAGCAGAAGAGGCGGTGGCGGGTGAGACACAGGCCACTAGAGGATGGAACTGTCCCCAGTAGGGTGCCTACCAAGATCATTACAAATACTGGAGGAGACGCGATGAAGCCGATGTAAGGCGGAGAGCAGGCAGCGATTGCACTGGACAGGGGAAAGAGTATTGTTTCCTGCAGCTACTTCCTGAAGGAGCAGGATGCACCAGCCACACCAGACACCCACAAACAGCTTGCTGCACAGACCTCTGCGGTCAGGAAGAGTTTGGAACTTGGGAGGTGTTAGGTAGAGAAGGACACTGGGGAGGTGGGGGGGGGACACATCACCGGAAATATAAGAGTGAGGAGCTGCAGGCAAGCTCAAGGAGGAGATTGTTGGGAAAGCAGCAGACCCTGTTAAAAGTCAGTGGAGATGTCCAAGAAAGCAGTGATCAGGGCTTGGAC